GTTTTCCTTAGGATTAAAGAGCAAGGATACTAAACTTCTAAAAACCCTATATTATATAAACTATAATTCTAACAAATACTAAAAGTATAGAAAATTCAACATACAGTAAATACTAGTATTATTCAAAATGTCCAACATAATAGAGTATTGATGCTAGAGGTAACTATTTCACAGGGAATTTTTTTAATCAAAAAAGACGACAAGGATGTCAAATTACATGTAACTTTAAGATAATGAAATTTTGAGCATAGGAAAACCCATAAGCCGATAGTGTTCGAAAATACCCTTTCATGATTAGCCCTCTTCTAAATGATGTGCTCAACCATTACTGCTAGTATTCAGGTACAAATTCAAGACTTTGATCAGAAAGAGGAGTTTAATATGAACCATGAAAATCTCAGATCATTGTCATATAAGCTCTCCTTTGGCTATGTTTATAAAACTTTCTAACAACTAAGGGCTAGCAGAGTCTAATAAAAACATCCACAATGATACACTCAACTTGTAGCACTGAGGAAGAATTATCCAATACTGAGGGGCTAGGGTTTTAAAGTGATGTACACCACAAATTCTAAACCTTGTGCTACAGCAGGGGTTGGATGGGAAACTATGGCCCAGACTCTTGTGTCCATGAATGAAGCTTTAGTGAAACGAAGCCATCCATGCCTATGCACCTGGGTACTGTTGGTGGTGAAGTAATGAGAGTGACTATGGTCTGCAAAGGCATAGATGACCCTTCCAAAAAAAATCTAGCTGCCTCTGGATTAGAGGGTATTTTTGTACAATCTTTGCTTAGTTCTAAAATGTCCCCCAACAGTGTCAGAAGGCTTGGGTCACTGGCGGCATGACTTCAAAGAGTATATTCCAGTCCCAGGCTCCTCCCTTTCCTCTCTGCTCCCCACCTGCCAGGAGGTGAACACTTTTCCTCTGCCAGACCTTTCCACTTGCCCCTTCTGCCCTGGGGCTGGCCAACCAGGGACTGAACCCTCTAAACACCAAATAAAGTAAAAATAAAACTTTCCCTTCTTCAAGTTGTGGGTGTTATATATCTTGTCCCAGCAATGGCCAAGTGACTAAGACAATATTTTATACCAAAAAAATTCCTGGTTAAGATTTTAGGACAAAAAAAGAACTTTATTCAACTGAGATAATTACAATTCTAAGTAACACATGATTATACATCTGTTCTTCCTTTGGTAAAAACAGGGTTGGAGTGTGCTAGGCCTGGCCTTTACACAGAGCACTGCGCTGCTTGCTGCCAGTCCTCTGCTGTGGGCGCCTCTTTCACATGCACTCCTCTGTCATGGTTCCATTTCCCACAGTGCTTCCTGACTTTCATTTGTACCTGTTTCACCTCTGTCCTTCCCCTTGCCTACTCATATCAGCTGTGGTAGTATTTCTCACACACTCTGGACGTGGGGAAAGCACGAGGGGCTTTGATCACCTCCCTTCTACCTTGTTATTTCCCAGTTCTTGGGCTTTGGCTTTATTTACATACTGCTTTCATATTTATGATTCTTTCTTGCATTTTCCTTCCTCCTGAAGCACATGCAACTTACATGCCATCCCCTGTACAGTGCTACTGGGTATCACTTGGTTTTGCGCAGCCTAGGATCAGCTCCTACCACACTTGGAAATGTTTTCTTCTATAACCCTATCCAGCCTGCTTTCTGTCTTTTAAGCATTCATTATAGTTCTTGTCTAGTGAAACCTTTAAAAAAGGTGGGGGGAGCTAGTGTGACATGTGCTCAGACCTCAGTCTTCAAGGAGAAGCCCTACAGTTGCTGTCTCCATTTGTCTAATTTATCAGTTCAACAATTAATTAGGCTGCACATTCTTTTCACCTGGAGATACTGACTGGTTCCATTTCTCATAACTGCACTGGCTAACTCTAAAGGCCAATCTCAAGTAGGAGGAAGAATACAGGTATTGAATCATACATCTTGCAACAAATCTTGATTCCCCTTTATTCTATTTGACTTTCTGGCAGTTAGATATCCCTGTGACAAATGGTTTCCTTATCTATAAAAATGGAGATAATAATACTTATGTATTTGACTTCACAGTAAATTGTAAGTGATGTATCACAGATAGTTTGATTCCAAATATTCTAGCAATTTGTTTGTGATCCTCTGTCTTACTTTTCTTTTTACTGAGACAAAATACCTGACATCTAAAGTTCAAGGAGGAAAGGTTTATCTGGCTCACAGTTTGTAGATGTTTCAGTCTACTGTTGGTTGGCTCCAAGGTACAGAGGCCTGGAGAGGAGCATTGCAGAGAAGAAATAGTCCAGTGCAAACAGCAGGTCAGAGCACATTAGCCCTCTTTCTGTCCCTTGGATCTTACACAGGCTACCCACCCTAGGTGGATGTAGCACTCACACTCTAGCCAGAATGAAGCCAAATCAATCAATGGACTGATTTAGTAATCATACACCATGGATCCCAGCACCACACACTCCAGATCCAGCCACCTCTGAACCTCACCCCACCCCTATAACTGAATAAGGCTTTGGGGCAACATCTATACAAAAGCCGTAACATCTCCATTAACTGTGATCATACTGCATTTCCAAATTGCAATTTATTATTTCCTTACTTCCTATGCTAATTATGTATTCTAAATGTCAATGATTTTAGAATCCATAGGATTCTACTTTTATAAAAGGCAGAACTAGATGTAATACAAATATTGATTATAATCTTTAAAAGGTACACCTAATAGTTCTATTTTAGCACAACAGATTTCCAAAAAAATTAAAGAAGCTCATTCGGTAAGATCAATGTAATTAATTATAAAACCAGATTAAAATTTTCTATACTGCTTTATAAAGTTAAAAAAAAAAATCCCTTTTTTCATATAAAACAACAGCTCTACCTGGCCACAACTGATCTGCCATCAACAGAATCTTCTGCGAATGTCATTTATTTGGCTACAAAAACAAGGCTCACACACAAATAAAAGTGGTATGAATACAAGTAAAAGAGAAAATTCCTCAGAAGTTAGACAACTCAATAATTTAGCAACACAGTACTTACTGAAGGTTGATGTGTTAGGGCCTAATATACATGCAAGTCAAGCTGGGCTTTCAGTCCTTTAATGTGGAAGATTCTGTTACAATGGAAACTACCACCTCAAGGCCTTAATGAGCTGAAGCACCACGTTGTGAGAATAAGGAATAGTAAGAACAATGGTTCCACCCTTTAGCATAACAATAACATGCCTGGTTTTGCTTTCCTAGGAGGAAAAAGCTATCAGGAAGAAAACTTCCGATGTATATAGCTCCAGGTAGGAGGCAGTTCATTCAGTAAATAATCTGAAGCTAACAGGATCCCACAGCGGTTTTTATTTTCAGAGAACAAAGCTGTTGGCTGAGTAGAAAAGGTCAGGAAAAGAGGGGAAAGAAGGATTCATTCATTTCTTTTACTATACACTCCGCTAACAGGTATGCTGAGGCCATGGGAGTTAAGTCAGGATGAGAGCTGACAGTTAAAAAACCAGAGACTGCTCATGTGGGCTAAACCCAAGGTCATGCCGAGCCTCAACTCTTCAGTTCTCTGACCAATACAATCTCTCTGCTGTTTAATTCTTGGTTTCTGTACTTGCAATAGAGTCCTCACTCATAACAATACTGGAGTTATACAAATCTGCTATGAAGCAAAAATCAGTATCTGTTGCTTATGGCAACGATATTTTGATATAATAAGCAAACGTATTTCCCTGGGAATAAAATTATCTAGTTTTCAAGGGTATTTTATAGTCTTTTCAAAGGTGCCAGGGAGGGACGTGCAGAGCTCCTGGAAATCCTTGTGGGTACACCGTATCACATGTGTTGTACCCTCTACAGTGTTGGAGGATGATATTGCCATTTACTTTTGCTTTTGGAGACCTGCATCATTCTTATCAGTATGGTATGTGGTACCTGAAAACTGCTGCAGACATATACCCAAAAGGCAAAACAACAAATACAGATTCAAAACATCCAGTGTTTAATACGAAGCTAAGAGTGGAAAAAACCCCTAGTTTTAGAGGACTATCTTTAGAGCTGTATCTTTAAAGAGCTGTAATAAAGGGCCAAGAGTATGTGTTACCCCTTTTCCAACTTCATACCTTATTGCAGCTCAACCTATAAAGCATAAAATTCTTTTCAGTCATAGTTAAAATTTTGAGACAGGAACTATACTGCTTAGGTAGGACTTGAACTTTTGATCTTCCTGCCTCAGTTTCCCAACTGCTGGGATTATGGGCATGTGCCACCATGCCCAACTAACTTATATTCTTTCTTATTTCTTTTATCAGGCCTTATTCTAAGATCTCAAATGAAAATATTATGAATAGCACTTTCTATAAAATAGTCATGAAATGGTAATGTTGGGATTAATCCTAGTCCCTCTATTTTATAAAGATTCCTTGCTTTCCAACACGAAACATAACCAGAGTGGCTGCTCATGCTGTTAACTGGTCGATTTCAGAGGCTGGATTCTGAATTCCATCTAAGAGTTTATGTGTAATAGTGAAGACAGAACACACTGAGAAACTTCAAATTTACCATTTTTTCAACCACATGAAGAAAGCAGCTGGGTTAGCCATTAGTAAAATTATCTACTAATCTTGCTCAGTGTGGACTATTAAAAAATGGAGCTTCCAAATTTTAAGCCAGCGCCACTCTCAGAGCATGCCTGTGCCTGGTGCCACGTTGCAGACTGTTTCTGAAGCATGACATTTTCTGTGTTACTACATACAGTGCTTCCTTCAGTTAACAGTTATTTACCTTTCCATACGAGATTTTCTTGATTCAAGACAGTCGCTCAAGCTCCCGATCCACCACTGAATGGTAAGTCTGGGGACCAGCTATTTTGAGTAGCGCTATTCTAGGGCTTGATTTTGGTGACTACCTCTAGTTTTCTGTCCCTACAGCCATCTGAAATTTATGTAAATTAAGAATTAAATAGTTACATGATAATGGGAAAGACAGCAGGGATAATGAACACTGGCCTCACCTTTGACAGAAGCAACTTCACACAGGAGACATGGCCCTCATAAACGGCAGACAGAAGCGGGGTAATGTGGTGTTTATCGGGAGCCTGTGAAAGGACAAAGAACAACTTTACCCATGTTCATTTCTTTCTAGATATAATTAGGGAGTTTCTGTGAATATTTCAAAACTAATGAATTCTATTTTGCTTCTGTACAGTATAAAGAATCTCTCCTCTAAGATAGTTTCCAGTCACTGGAGAGTTGTTACCAAGGAGCTTTGACCCCAGCTCAAACCCTGCATCTGTCACGTATTTTGTGACTTGTTATTTTGCTCTCTGAGCCTAAGTTTTATATTACTGAAGGAATGCCATGTGGCACAGGAAGGGGAGAAGGGGTTGGACACAGCCGATGAGGTAAAGGAAGACTGCCACAACTGGGCCAGGTGACATGGTATTTCCGGAAATGTGAAAGCTCATCTATTTTGCTGTTAGAGTTACTTACAACAATCTGAAACTCTGCGTAAGTTACAACAGCCTGGAGTCAGGCGATGGCGGTTCACACCTGACCACCGTGAACAGTGACTGTGCGGAATCCTAGTCTCCTTTACATGACAGCACCTGCTAGCTACAGAAAGTGCCAGCACCCCAGGCTGCAGAACTCGAAAAGCAGCAGCCATGGGGCAGATGTGTAACCCTCAGTTTATCAGCCTCGAAATGTCAAGTTTGTTTGACTTATTTTTTAAAATTCCTACTTGTATTTCTAAGTTACAGGAAATGCGGTATAATTTTGGACTTTTCTATAAGTAACTATTTCACAAATCTAAAGAAACAATTATCCAAATTATACAACAGTATTTTTTCGAGAATAACATACATTATACACATAATTAGGTATTAACATATGTTCTCTACATACATTAATATCTGCTCCTTTCAGCAGCAGGAATTCCAGGATTTCGAGCTGTCCACAATCCGCTGCATAGTGAAGAGGCTTCCTTCCCCCTTCCAGTGTCCGGTTGACATCTTCTCCCTTATAAAAGAGGCATGAGAAAAACGTTTACACTGATGGAAGAAGGGAAAAGAGGCCTCTTGACGTTTTCCCATTCTTAAAGCTTAAGTTCATGAAATAATTACATTTCTTGCAAAGTGAAATAAAGACCTGAAATTCTGCATGAATGTAGACAAAAAAATAAGGATAATGCAAAGGCTTTGTGCGGCTGACAGAAAGGAACGGGTTCTTCTATGCAGGGCCTTAGCAAAACAGCACCACAAGGAGAAATTCAGAGAACTGAACGTCTACGTAGGAGGGTAAACAGCTTCAAATTAGAGATCTTCGTACTTCACTAACATTAAGAAAAAGGTAGACTGAATCAAAGTAAGCAGGAGAAAAGCCTACAGAGCAGGGCAGAAATCGAACAGAAAACAGAACAGCATCAAGAGAAATCAGAAGCTGATTCTTCAAGATGGTCAATACCACCGAAAACTTCTAACATGAGTGACGTTACAGATTATTTTCTCACAAAGAACCCTCAGGCTCCAGACAGTCTTGCTGGTAAATGCTACCAAATACCTATACGCTGTTGCAGAAAACTGAAGGGATGGGAACTAAGTCAACTCATCCTGAGGTTATGGGTACTCTAATTCGAAAAGGAGACAAAGATGTTACAAGTGAAAAGCATGACAAGCACATGAGGACCAGGGGCACAAAGGTACATTTACAGTATCCTCCTCCTTCTCCCGTAAGAATTTCATTCTTCACTGATTGACTAATTGACAAAATATATATTTGATATCTATATATCTGATTGCTCACTCACAAAAATATAAAATGTGCCTGTCCCACTAACTCCCTACTCACAACTTCTCCAACTTTTTCACTGAAGTACCTCAACTAGCAGAGGAGAGGAGAAACAAAACTCCAATGCTTCCCGAAGGCTGAAGGCAAATCCTCAAGTTAAACAGAAGAATTTTCTCAAAGTAGTATTTCATCTGGTAAAGTCATACAAATATATCTGGGTAAATATACACACACAGATGTTAAATATGTGGTGTGTAATGTAAGAGTCACAACCCAAATCCATAGCTGCTGTTGTCCTCTCTTTTCTTACAAGGGATGCTGCAGGGATTTGGGCTACATTTACGCCAGGTCTTAGAGTAGCTCCCTGGAAACAGCTGACTGTCCTCATTCGAAAAGCACCATATTTTACAATCTAATCCATGACAGAGATACCGTATGATAACTACTGCTTCTGTACTGCTCCATGTGAGAACTACAGACCACCAGACAATCCACGAGTAGACTTTTAAAGAGTCTACAATTCTTTGTGTGTATATACCATTTTCAAGAGTTCCTTTTATTTTTCTCCACACAATTCTCCAAAAGGGGCTATGACCCCAAGTTAGGATCTCCTTCCTGTAGCAGAATGTACTGTCTCTAGTTATTTAAATTTTGTCTAACCTTCCCTTGCCTACTTAAGTTCTACTTTTATGAAGAGATGCAGTATTGAGTTGTACAGAGCACGAGGTAGATGCCAGAAGCTCTCGTCACTGAAGCACAAGCTTTGTGGGCCTCAGGCTTTTCATAGTGAGAGGTAGTGCTGGAGGTCATCCCTAGTTCTTTTAACAGTCAGCTTCTTGTACTAAATAACAAGACACTCAATGATTAGGTCAATATACAACTTCTCCCCGTTTTCTCTCTCACATACACCCAAAACCAGGGAAATAGGTTTTCCCGCACCTTTGCTATGGAGACAAAGTGCTAAAAAGACTTTGTGCTGAAAACAGCCACAACTGTACATTCACCTTTCCATATAAACTACATCAAGCATGCAGATTTAATGTAAAGGTATGAAGAAAGGTTAAAAAAAAAAACCACACATAGAGCTCAAAGTAATAATGGTCTTTTCTTTCAAATGTATTACTTCTTTTACTAATAAAAGGTAGATTTAAAAAGATGATAAAACACGGTATCAGAAAAGATACACTACTTACAATTAGATTTAACTCCACAAGCACTGCCTGAACTTACTGTAAGTTAGGCACAAATGAAAGAGGCCAAGTTTTGATTCAAATAATTAGCTGCTTTTTTGGGGGAGCAAATATACAAATAATAAATGCCATTTAGTTGGTGTTCCAAGAACAGGAACCTCAGTGAAGGGAATGCACAACAGCTTAGAGCACTGGCAACGTGTCTTTCATTGTGATTTAACTTTTCATGCATTTGTATCTTGTGTTGTTAATTTTAAAGGTTCTTAGGGGTCAGAAATTGTGTCTTATACTTATTTCTACAACATTATGGTACTTTATCTACATACTACAGTATTTATATACAATATGGTATTTATTTGTACCACAATATGGTACTTCTAAACCTCACTAACAATTTGTAGTGATTGCCAATTATGACAACATACTATAAAGTACTAAACTAAGACAGTTATTCAATACAGTTATCCAATAAAATGCCCACTGATTCAGAGCTTGTGTGTATGTGGGACTAGGAGTTCACACAGTACTGTGTAAGAACTCCCACAAGCCAATGAGAAGTCCAGAGGCTCTGTCGTGTTGACATATGGAGCTGACCATGTTATTCAGTAAATAAAGTGGGTTACAGATGACAGAGTATGATCCAAAACTTAGGATACATTTATATATGACCTACACATACATATACAAGTTTATTAGTAGTCAGCTTTAGAGAACAGGATTATGAAGGATATTCTCACTTTCTAGATTTCAGTATTTAAGAGTGAGTATGCATTAAACCAATGAAATAGGTATTTTATTTCGAGAAACTAAAACCAAAGACCACTGCTTATTTGTTGAGTTAGAAAATTTTTGACTCAAACATGCTTTTTGATGAATTTAAGACCTAGAAGACCTACAAATTTTAAACATATTATATATGTATATATAAAATTATATATAGATATATTTCAATGTAAGAGTAAAGAATATAAGAAAAAAAGAATAAAACAAGTCCCTAGCTAAAAAAAGGCAAAATGAAGGTTGTTGAAATAATTTTTAAAAACCCCTAAAAAGTTTAAATGACCATTTATAACAGTAAATGTGGCTGGTTTAATTGACCCAACTTTAGATTTCATTAAAAAAAGTGAACCATAAGCTATTATTGAGAGACACCTAAAAACGGAACGATATAATACAGAAGAGACGAAAATGTATCAGGCATATACCATATACCTGAAAAACTACTAGGAGTAATAATATATAAGGTAGAATTAGAAAGATATTAATGTCATATTTTAAACATATATAAGCTAGGCATGAATCTATGAAACAGCAAGGAAACTGACAAGATAGCACTGCATGAGAAACTACTGTGATGATCTAGTTCTTGGCAAGCAAGACCACAGCAAGCATGATCAACAGAGATTCACCGTATTGTGCACCAAGCTTTGTACTCGCAGGAAACCATCCTTTCTACTTCCACTGAGTAGTAAAACATGATTATAACAGGCTATAGAAAAATCTTGGTATATTTAAAACTCTCTAATCACAGTGCAATAAAACAAAATATCAAAAGTTTTAGCACAGACATACAACTGAAGGGGAAAATCATGAGAACAATAAACATACACATGCAACACAATAGAAACAAACCAATACTAAATGTGCTAAGTTACTGAAGGAGAAAAGAGGAACCTGATACTAGAATGTCAGACTATCCTGAAAATAAAGGTGTTGTATCAAGAGAAAAGATATAATACAGGACACATAATTTATAGGATTATTTTATAATAGTCAACCAGAGTCAAATACAACAGTGCAAGAAATCTGTTCACATACTAGAGACCCAAAGAATCCAGCTGAGGGCCTGAATCCCACAGCACCGTCCTGCACAAGTCCAGCTGAAGACCTAGAGCCCATGGAAACGTCCTCCACGAGTCCAACTGAAGGCACAGAGCCCACGGCAATGTCTCACACAAGTCTCCATCAGGGATCTGCACTGGGAAGGCCCAAAAGTCGGTGGGGGAAGCCAGAAAGTCTGTGCAAGTGGGATGAAGGATCTGCACTGGAGCCAGGAAGTGACCCTCAAGGTAAGGACCAGAGCTCCCCTGAAAAGAACTGCTGCCATTCTCAGCAACAACAAGGCCCTGAGCCCTCCTATGATGAGAACAGCCGAGATTGAGAATCAAAAGCACCATCTCTTCCTCTCCCATTCTTCTTACGTTGCTGCAACAATCCTCAAGTAGGCCTTCCACACCAAGCACCACGCTGACTCAGTTCAGCTGGGTGTTACAAGTTGCCCAGCAGTTGTCAATCCACCACAAAAGGTTAAGATATTAATTGTATTAAAATAAGATTATTATTTACATATAGAACCAGAAATGGAAAACCAACTAAGCCTTTGTGACATGGTTAATTAACTTAATATGAAATTACAGGGTTTTGAAGGCTGCCACAGTTCACTAGCTTCTTATTTTTTCAACTTTTGCTTCCCCTATTCTCCTGATTGGTTTTAACACGGACTAGAAAACAGATTTTCTTAATAGTTGCAGATTTCCTCTTTTTAACTCCAAAATCTTTTATGTGCTTCTCAGAAGTGTGGTTTGGTGAGGATAATTTACTAGATTCAGTACTTTTTATAGGCCTTTACTATGCTGGATTAGGTCTGACATTAAACGTTCAGCTGGAAAGCATTCTTCATACTGTTTCTAAATAAAATGGCCACCTGACTCCTGCTGAGAACTTCCTTTCAGGCCTTCTTTCGTAAGATGAAAAGAAACAGTCTCTTCCTTTGATTTCCAACATGTGTGCATCTACGCAAGTGAGTTCTAAGGCATAAATACATACTGTACTCTCACAGGAGACTGAATGTCCCTCAACACCACTAAGAGCAGATTAAATTAGCACACGTGTGACCATTTTGTAACAGGGCATGAAAATTACTACTGGACACCTGACATAGTAGAAAGCAGCCAAAGTATTAAATTTATCAAATTCTATACAGTTGAACCAATGTTTCCTTATTCAGCTACAATTAAGTATTACCTATCCTTGCTTAGAATT